TGAAGCCACAACTGGCTCTGCAGTGCTTCCAAGTGCACCGGGAGGCCTGGTTCTTATAAAACAGTTTATAGTTCTCCAAACAATGCAACTCTTCCTCTAATCGTTTAAAGAAGCGAGTCACCAGGGCTTTAAGCACTACATAATGTCTGATATTGGCCAAAACAAGAACAATTTCCTGTCTAGCCGAAGGAGCCAGGGAAGTGAAGTCCACCACCTGATGCTGTTGAGCAACCCTCCACGGAATGAGCAGCTGATGAGGTCACAAGTAAGCAAGAAGACCTCTTTCCCACAAGGGGAAAGGTCAGTTAGTACAACAGGCTTCATGTTTGTAGTAGGGAGATCCTAACTCAGTAACAAAACCCCTCTTTCCCCTCCCTTCCAAGATGCGAGAAAATCTTTCTTTTCTACTTTATCACATTTTTTGTTGTCTCTGTTTCTTTTTAGTACTGACTCATTTATCTTAGATTTCATTATTTTACAATTTCCCTTCTCTTACTTGTTCTCTCCGTTAGTCTTTCTGTAATTCCTCTTTGCTAAAAGTCTGTCTAAAAGATACATTTAGGTTGGGCATTGGTGGTGCACACCTTTGACCCCAGCATTAGGGAGGCTCAGGCAGGTGGATCTCTGTGAGCTTGAGGCCAATCTGGTCTACATAGTCTGTTCTAGGACAGGCAGGGCTACAGGAGAAATCCTGTCTTGAAAATCAATAACAACAAAAAAGATACATTTAATTCAGGAATTTTTAATACAGTTATGAGAGGGACAAATGTCTAAAGAATGGAACTAAAAAAAAATTAATTCTGATGAGTGAAAGCAATAAAAACAAGGAAATAATATGGACATTTGAAATTGAATTTCGTACTTTGAAGTCCATGTAGACTAAATATGATGCTGAAGTGGGAAATGGGCAGGGGTTGGGGTGTGTCAGATCTTGGTTTCTCATCTCTAGCATTGCTGGAATCATTTCTCTTGAGTCAAAAGTTCCATATATATATATTTTCTTTTTTTAATCAGAGTCTCATTATGTTGCCCAGGCCAGCACTGAACTCTTGGATTCAAGTGATTTTCTTGTATCAGCTTCTTGAGTAGCTGGGATTACAGGTTTGTACCACTATACCCTACCTGTCTTGGCATAGCTACTGAACTCTACAACGTTCTCTTCAAGAGAAAGACTTTTAGAGCTATTTAACAAAACAGTATACTCTTAATGATATTATATGCTAACATACCAGGGTAAATCAGTAAGCAAATCAACACCAAGAATGACCACAACCAACCATGAAATAAAGGAAGTAACAGACAGTAGGAAAATCTCCTAACTCCTTCTAAGTTCTTCTCAGTCCTGGCCTCACAAAAAAAAAAAAAATTTAAATGTAAACTCACGTACTTTTTCTTGGGTCATCCATTTTTCCAGTACAAGAAGCCAGAGCCAGGCTAATCTTTGAGGGTTGATATCAGACCCACATCTGAAAAAGAAAAGATTCAGTAAAAAAGGAGTTTCAACCGACCCTTTCCCTTTTGTAATTTGAGATTTGTATTTCAGTTTTCAGTTCAGTCCATATTAAATCTGAACAGGCAAGTCCTGATGAGAAATTCTCAATTGCAAATAACAGTTCAACAAAACAACTACATAACTTCCAGCTTCCACTCATGCCTAATACCACCTTATCTAATTGTATTTTATCTTCCCAGCTGGAGTGTTGTTAGGATGGAACTCCAGGGCTTAGGCGATCTTCCTCTGTTTCAGTCTCCAGACTGGAGCTACCGATATAGCCCCACCATACCTGGCTTAGTCTTATTTTTAGAAATACTTGTACAGAGCAAGTCACAGTCCATTTGAAATATGTGTGCATATCCATCCATACATGCACATATATATTACATGCAAACACACTCTCTGTCACTCACTGTTTTGAGGGAGGGTCTCATACTGTAGAGTTCAGGATGTTTTTGAACTTAGAGCAATCCTCCTGCCTCAGTTGTGATGCATGAGTTAAACTACCATCCTCAGCCTCTAAGTGTACTTTTGAATACCAAAAATGAACCAAATACAAAAGAATAAAGGGAGTTCATTGACACTAATTTTTAACTATATAGTTATTCATAAGCCTTACTTTGGAGTCAGTAGTTTGGGCAGTAACAGCCTAGGTCCCAAATTTAAGGGGAAAAAAAATAACAGAAGAGTGATTTGCTTCTCTGGTCCTTATGTGCTGATACAAATATGTCCACAGGCTTATAATAGAACAGTTAAAGAGAAAGAACAAAATACATTTGGCCCCTATAACACTAGTCCTGAACTTAAAAGATCTATGATGGAGAACTGTGGTTACCAAGAAATAAGAAGTATAAGCATACAGTATAATAGCAAGAAGTAAGAGAATTCATGTGTAGCGATACAGTACTTAAGTCTTTATTACAGTGGGGTTACATCAACCCTTGTGTGGGTAAAACTGCCTAGAACTACCAGTAAAAAGCAAATATAGATTTAAAATGGTGAAAATCAAGAACTTCAGTTAATGTACTAAGGTAAACTTCCTGGTTTTGATGCTTTACTACAGCTGGATGAGATGTCACAAGTAGGGGAGGTGGAAAAAGGGGTACCCTGAACTTTATTTTTCAACTTTTTGTGGGTCTATGATTACTTTAAAATACAAAGTTTTAAGTTAATGTACTTTCAGTCCTTTGTTAAAGCAACAACACCATCAGTCTTATAAGCAAGATGAGAGAGTAGGTTTGTCATTTGGTGACAAAATTTTCTTCTATAGATAATAAACAAGGGACGATTTCAGGAAACTTTTGGTAGCCAGGCTTAAACTCAGCCCCAGAGGGCAATCCAAGGCCAGTGGAGTACATTAAATGTAAAATATATCACACAGATAAAATATCAGAACATTGACATGTGCTCTACACTTCTGCTACTTTGTTTTTCAAGACAGGGTTTGTTTGTGTAGCTTTGGAGTCTGTCCTGGAACTTGCTCTGCAGACTCACAGAGATCCACTCTTTTCTGCCTCCCAAGTGCTAGGATTACAGGTGTGCCCCTCCACCGCCAGGATTCTGCTAACTTTTAAAGAAAGTAGTTGATTAGGGGTATAAAGACCAGAGACCAAATACTGAACCACCTGTCTTCCTCTCGCAGGTCCTGCCTGGTAAGAAGGGAGATCACTTACCTTAGCAGAATGGGACACTGCACCAGCGCGTGTAGTATCTCTTCCACCTTTTTTGGGATATCCCCTTGTCCCTTGTGTAGCTGAGGTACACATGCCTGTGCCAGCTCCCAGTCGCCTCTCCGCAGGCACTCACAGAAAAAATCAAAAAGCTGCTCCTCGGTAGCGGTTTCCTCTTTTCCAAATGGGTAACTCATTTTCCCAGCACAGAGTGCAGGGAGATAGAAAGGGAGTCGTTAAGCGGAATGCATTCTCAGTTTTCTCATTCGAGGGGTACCTCCTAGAAATAACACACCAGCTGAGAAACGAAACTGTTTAGATAAAGCACCTGCTACTAGCCGAAAGGAAAAGGCAGAACTTACTTTTCTAATTACTGTTTTGGATTTAACTTGATCTATTACTATCTCCTTTTGAGAACCGCCTCTTTCTCTAAGGGGTGGATCCCATCTCCTAATGCACACCCTATATATAATAATCTTAATATTTGTGTTAGCCTGGGGCGCAGACACGTAAATTTACTTCCGCATTCGCTCCTGAACATTTTGTCAGTCGGATTACAAATCTCTAGGTGGGTGCCTTGGTGAGAATAAGAACTCCTTTGGGTTCAGCCTTGTGTTAAGGCAGAGGATTAAAAGATCAGGAGATCATCAATCTGGGACCTAACGGGAGAGCCGGGAGGCTGGGGGAGAGGGATGCTCCCCCTAGCGGGGTCGTGGACAGCACCCTAGCCGACTTTCCTGCGACTTACACTCACCTGCTCCGGGAGTCAAATGCATTTTAGCTTCCAGGGCAGCCATGTTTGAGCCCAGTCAGGTGACAGATCCCATTGCGAAGAGTGGTGGAAGGGGGTGGGATGACGAATGAGAGAGCCACTCCTATTGGCTCAGAAGAAGGAAGATGCAAATCAAGTACCAGATTTATTTTAGTCACGTGACAGCACCGGATCGCTAGGGTGAAGCTAGGGAAGAGTAAATCCTCTAGCTACAGGGCCGAGGACCCTTCCTAATCACTATCGCTCCTCTTTGCAACACCTTCAGTTATGCATCTCGGGGGAGTTGGCGCCAGGAATGTCAGCTGTGTTCCACCGCTCCACTCCCGTCACTGTCTCGGTGATAACTAATGACAGATGCGGCGGATGTTCACGGCAGTCCTGGATCCTCCTGCATCATTATTCTGTCTACTTGCAATATATATTCATTTATACATAAATACCACACTCGTATATTGTAATGCATAATTATATATAAATTAGAAGACCGAGGTCGACACAGTAGTTGCACAACCTAAAGCAAAGAGTGAGCAAAGGCTTTTTCCACAAATTCAGTAATGAAACCAGTTCTTAAATTTATTAGTTTTTCTTACCGCATCTACTTTACTATTAAACCTATTTGATTTCCTTTCTTTTTCAACTACACTCAAGTGTTTTTCCCCAATATATATTTTAGTTTCAGAAGCTTCAGTTAGTTTCATTTTCACCATCCAAGGGTGGTGAAAAATGCTAAGCAAAACAAACACTAAACTCTCTTTCTGAAACTGTAATAGGCAGATAGCCAATACTTTTTTCAATTCCTCAGCCCCTAAAAGACCCTTATCTGGCCTAGGAAGTAGGTAAAAGTGCGATTCACTAAGGAAAAGAATTCCCAGATACGGTTTTCCTTGTTTCGCACTCGTCTTGAAAGGTTCCTCCCTGGATTTTGATAATTACCACAACGGAGAAATTTAACTGGTTTAAGTGGCTAGTCTGAAAGTATGAACTACAATTCCCAGAATGTAGCGGGGCCAACCCAAGCTTTTGCCTACTTCTGATTGGATAAGTCTCTAGAGTACCGGCCAACCAGCACTGTAGTTGTTGCAATGTGCGCTTTTCGCGGGTAATTGTGTGAGGGTGGGGGTAAGTTTGAAAGTTCTGTGCTGCAGACCTGGTACTGGAGTTTTCTGAGGGGGGCAGTTGTGGGGAGTCGGGTTTGCTTATCTCTTACCTCTCTCCAGGCCTGTGGCTGTTGATACCGGGGTGGCGGAGAGTCCTGGGTGCCGGTCACGCCCTTTGCTCCTGTGGGGCTCGTCCCTGGAACCCCGCCTTGGGTCCTGGGGCTTCAGACTTTGTCTGGGGCGGGTGATCCTTGGAAGCTGTCTTGTTCTTTAGAGCGTTCTGCATGATGTTTTCTACCCCTTGATGCCTCTCCCACTGCTTCTGAGCTGTTAGGGATCTGGGCACTATTAGGGACTGTCATACTTGTGTTGAAGAGCGTGGAATTTGCAGTCAGATCTCTGGGTTCGAATGCGGGTTCCATCCTTGGTTAGTTTGCACTTTCCTCAGCTTAGTGTTTCAGAGAGGCCTTATGTGTAAAACGAAGCAAAAACATTCGAAGCATTTAAAACCAGTGTCTGGCGCGTATTAAGAGCCCAGTAAATAAATGAATCCCCCAAACCCTACAAAACATCTATTATTCTTGTTACAGTTCAATGCTGAGTTGCTATTGAAAATGCATCTTGAAGATTACATAACCAAATGAAATTTGTAAATAATGATCAATATCTTAAGGTCATTGTAAGTGATGGCTAGTCTTGGTAGTTAACCTGACACTTGACATTCATGAGAAGAGGGAGCGTTAGTTGAGGAATCACCTCCATCAGATGGGCCTGTGGGCATTATCTGTGGGGATATTGATCCTTAATTTATGGAGGAGAGCTTGAATGACTTGTCAGAGGTCCTATTCTTGAGCTAGAATGCCTGTTGAGTGATCAGGTGAATCAAGCCAGTAAGCAGATTTCCTCTGTGGTATCAGCTTATTGCTAATTCAATTTCTTGCCTTGAGTTCCTGCCTTGGCTTCCCTTGACAATGGAATTTAATTTGTAAGCCAAATAAACCTTTTCTTCTGAAGTTGCTTTTGGTCAGTCTTTTGTCACAGCAACAAAAGGCAATCTAGACTACAGTGTAAATGTAAAGTACTATTAAAATCGTGTAGTATCAAAGAATTGTGTGGAATGCATTTTCTGAGGTTGCTTGGTCAATAAACAAGTGTCTCTCCTACTTTTGTTAGCAATTTCCCATGTTTTGTTTTGCATGTAGAGAGGTTTATTTTATAGGGTGTTAGTATAGTGTGTCCACTGCCATTTTTATTACTTCTGTATTTTATTTATTTATTTATTTATTTTTATTTTTTTTTTTTTTGAGATTCTTCTTTGGGAGATCTGGAAACATGAGCAATAAGAAACTAAGACGAGTGGGTTTATCACAAGAGCTGTGTGACCGTTTGAGCAGACATCAGATTGTTAATTGTCAGGTAAAAATTTATGTATTTTTAGATAAATTTAATGTACAATCTAATTTTAAGTTTACCTTAATAGCTGTTAAGGGTGGGTTATGAAGATTGAGGGTTGTAGGGACTGAGGGAAATCACAGAGGCAGTAAAGTCCTTGCCAGGCAAACATGAGGACATAAGCTTGAATGCCCAACACTGTCATAAAAAGCCAGGCCTGGAAGTGCACATCTGAACTCCTAGATCCAGGGAGGCAGAGACAGGAGGATCCCTGGGGCTTGCCAGGTAGGCAGTCTCGTTACATTGTGATCTCCAAGTGTGTCTCAGAGATCAGATCTTAAAGAGTCACTAAAGGAGACATCCAATATTGACTTCTCACCTCCACATGCTTAGACAAAAATAGAATAAAAACACAGATGTACAAAAATAAGTGAAATAATGGCGCTTCCTATAAATAAATGATTTAGGTTGCATTTCCGGCTGGAATTTTATTTACTGAAGTCTAATATTTTTTGTATTTTAGGATGAGAATTGTCATGACACAAGGAAATATGTCTGTGCCATTTATTTGGGGTATCTGAGAAGTTTAATCCACTTAAAAATTTTTTATTATTATTTGAGAAACATGACTTAAATGAGATTATAGTGAGGGTGACTTGTCTTAGGAGAGACAATAATTAGGATTATTATTATTATTTACTAATGTTGAACATTGACAGAAGGTTTAAGTTCTCTGCAACTGAGTTATACTCCTGTCCAGCCTTAAATTTTTAGGACTGACTTGATAAATGTATACAACAGAAGTTGCTTTTTTTTTTTTCTTTTTCAGATGCCACATCTTTTTAAGTACAGTGATGAAGAAAATCCCTCTTAGGAGGATAGATTAAGGCTAAAGTTTTAGTTTAGGATTTTTGTCTTTAATACACATATTCCACAACACATAATTTTGGGGATATCTTTGTTTATTCTGTTAATACATTCAATAATCATGTTTATTTTAAATGGTTTACAAAGTATGAATTAAACATTTTATCCTGTATTTTGAATTAAGCATTAAACATCCCGATTCTCTCATTTGATACTTTCCTCTGAGTTAATTGCAGAGTGAGTTCCAGGACAGGCCCATATCAATACAGAGAAACCCTGTCTTGAAAAGCCAAAAAAAAAAAAAAAAAAAAAAAGAAAAGAAAAGAAAAAGAAAAAGACCTGGAATAAATTTCACTTATGTCTAGAGATGAACAGTGACGACTGAAAAGTTTCTCTCTGTTTTATATTTGCTTATCTTTTAAATTAAGAAAGCCCATGATGAAAATTTCTTCCTAATCCTTACATCTTTGTTACATATGTATGTTGAATGCTGATTTTTACTCTTTTTCTTTTTAGGACTTTTTAGGTCTTTCCCCACTGGAACTTATGAAAGTGACTGGCCTGAGTTATGGAGGTGTCCATGAGCTTCTGTATATGGTCAGCAGGGCCTGTGCTCCACAGATGCAAACAGTATGTGTAACTTCACAAGAGGCATTGACGCCTCTGGGGATCAGGACAGCTGCCCTGTGTGCTTTAGCTAAAATGTGAAGGGTGAATAGGGGAGACAGGCAAAGACATTAAGGGTGGAGCGGGAAGAGTCTGGCTGTTGGCATATCAGATGCACAGGCTCTGTGATTAGCTTAGGCTGTGCCCATGGAACACAGTGAGGAAGAGAGTTGAAAAGATGCAGCCAGCGAGAGAGGCAGGGGGCAGGATGGGGCCTTGTAGACCAGGCTAAGGATTTTGGACACTATTCTAAAAGTAGTAAATCATAAAGGGGGGACAGTTGGTGAATTTGAAGAAGATATGTCTTGAATGCACATTGAAAACAAGCAAGAAAATATCTGCTAAAATATCTGTTACTGTGTTCTGGAAAAAGTAACGGGTTATTAGTGAGGTATTGTAGCAGAGGCTGGAGTAGTGATCACTATGAGAGCAGTTTCAGAGAGAAACTGATGGCCTCCGATGTTTAGTCCTCCAATATAACACCAATCCACCTCTTCCTGGTTGCCACCACTCATGACAATTTGGATTTAATATAATCACAGGAGAAGTGTCTGCATGCCACTCTTTGTATATCTGATTTATAATGGCTAAAATCGAGAAGTTGGGATTGATATATCAAGTGGTTCTAATGGTCACAGAGGATCCACGGTTTGGACTGTAGCTTTGTACACAAAAGAACCTTTGTAGATGATGGTTTAGTATAGAGAGTAACTTGGTCCAGGTGTTTCACTGTGGCTGTGGCTGCCATGGCCTTAAGTGATGACTCTGGAGGCTCCTTGCCGTTCTTGTCAGTATGTTAGGTGAGCATGCAGCCACTTGATTTAATTCTTGCCCAGTCAAGCTCCTCTGCTTCCCTAGACTGCCCTTCTCGGTTGTCAGTTTGTGTAGCTTGCTGTAGCATGAGTTCACTCTGTTCACTCTTTTGTTCTATTATGAACTGAGAGTATGCTTGAAGTCATTTACTTTCTGATGGCATTTTGAAAATTCAAAAATGAGAATTTGTCATGTTAAAAGCCCTTGAGATTTGTTGTGCAGCATTCATGAGTACTCTGTTTTTAGTCCCACTTCTGTTAGTCTCCCTGAGCTACCATTTTCATCCTTTGAAATGGTTGTAATAGCTTCCTGACACGTGTGATCCATCTTTAAGCCAGTGGTTCTCAACCTTCCTAATGATGCGACCCTTTAATACAGTTACTCATGTTGTGGGGACCCCCAACCACAAATTTTTTTTGTTGATACTTCATAACTGTAATTTTGCTTCTGTTATATGAGTTGTAATGTAAACATCTGTTTCCCGATGGTCTTAGAGGGGTTGTGACACACAGGTTAAGAACCTCTGTTCTAAGCAGACCTTAACATTTCCTCAAAATGATAATTTGTGGGGTTGGAAGGATGACTCAGCAGTTAAGGACACTGGTTGCTCTTTCAGAGGACTCAGGTTTAATTCCTAGTACCCACATGGCAGCTCACACCATAACTCCAGCTCCAGAGGATCCGATACCTTCTTCTGGGCTCTTCAGTCACCAAGTGTGCATGTGATACACAGACATGCATGCTGGCAAAACACCCATATACACAAAAGAAAAATTAAAAATGTGGTAATTTGTTATAATTGCCACAATGGGTAGACTGAAAGAAGAGAAAGTTGTCTCACAGACTGCTCAGGCATAGCTGCACCCTCTGCAGAGTATCTAGGGGGAGAACCCCTTCCTTGACTCTTCCGGTTGCTGAAGACGGTTGGCATTCCTCAGCTTGTGGCTACTTTCCCCTCTGTTCCATCTTCACATTGTTGTCTTCTCTTGAAGCTGCCTTCCCTGTCTGAGAAGAATACTTTTTGTTAGCATCTGTGGTCCACACACATAATCCAGGGTTATCTCCTCATCACAAGGTCTTTAAGTCATTCCCATCTGCAGGGATTTCTCCAAATACAGCAACATTCGCAGACAGGCTCCAGGGATTTGGTGTGGATATCTTTTAGAGGCCATTTCTCATCCATCTCTCCGGCCCCCTGCAAACTGTGCTTCATAAATCAACCTGAGTGTGAAATGATCACATGGCCACGTTTCCTCTGCCCCAGAGCTCCTGGTGCGAGGCTCCTGCTTGCTTCTCCAGCCTTGTCATGTGCTGCACTGTTGTGACAGTCTATCTCTCAGCCATCCTAAGTGAACTTTGTGTAATTGTTTATGGTTTGCAGTTTCCAATAACTTCTGCTTGTATCCCCCACGTCTTGGTCTCTGTGTGTGCATCCTCACCTTTGGCAGGAATGTTCCCGTTCCTTTTGCTTATCTAACAGTGGATTCAGAGTTTTGCACAGACACCTAGCTCTTCAGTGAAGCCCTCTAGACCACTATGTCTGATTAGCTTGTAAGTCTCTGTCTCTTGTTAACAACATTGTAATCAGCCAGTGTTCCAATCCCATGGTCTTTGTTTTGCAATAAGCCTGTGAGCGTGATAGCTGTTTGTCATAGTCCATCCTTATAATTTAGCCTGGTCAGTGGCACTGGGTAAATACCAACCAGTAAAATGAGTAATGGGGGAAAGAAGGCTGAATTATGGTTACAGAGTTGGTTTGTAACAGTTGAATGGAACTTAATGATTTTCTTGTTAGGCTTATGAGATAAAGATGCAGACATCTGCCAAACTCTCCCCAGCGTTCCTGTCTACTACGCTTTCTGCTTTGGATGAAGCCCTGCATGGTGGTGTGGCCTGTGGATCTCTCACAGAGGTAAAGGAAACCCTTAACTTCTATAAGTATTAGAGCCAGGAGAAATGTTTAGTTAAAAAAAGAAGACATAAATTGCCTCTTGAAAACGAATGTGAATAAAGGCCTGAGTACTTTGCTGGTATAGTCCTACAGTCAGTATCCGTATAGTTGTTTTATAAATGGAGGCATTAAACACTTCCTCGCTGACTGACTAGATGTGTTCCGGGCTTTGTTTCTTTGAATTGCTTTAGAAAGTGATGTGTATTGGGGTTTGAGGAAGTGGCTGAGCGGGCAGAGTCTTAACGCTTGCCCTACAGTCATGAGGGCCTGAATCTAGATCAACGGCAACCGTGTAGAAGCCAGGTGTAGTGGTGTGTATCTGTATTCCCAGCAAGGTGGGAAGGGGCTGAGTGTCTCAAACCACATGATGTAGAGGAGAGGAAGACATCAAGTGTTGATCTCAAGCCTCAATCACATGCTCACACACCTGCACATATACACGCATGCATGAATACACCCATATGCATGCCACCACAATATTATGAAACATATTAGGAAACAATTTGAGTGGATTAAGAAAAGGGATCACTACTTAGTAGATTTCTAGTGCAAGTCAATTTTTATAATATTTGAGCATATATTAAACTATATTGAGCTATTTTTGTTTCCTGCTACTGATAGCATTTAATCTAGGAAGCAATAGTTTACTGTATTATTTTATGTTGTTGCATAATGAATTGTTCTCAAGCTAAGTGGCTGAAAGCAACAGTACACACTGACTTCACAGTGTCTTTGGGAGTGTCTGAGCTTAGTGAAGTTGGCAGTGCCTGCAGTCAGCCAAAGCTCAAGATGCCCAGAGGAGCTGGCTCACTCACTGGCAGGTTGGTGCTGGTGTTTTTTTTTTTTTTTTTTTTTTTTTTTTTTTTTTTTTTTTGGCAATTTTTCCCTAAGTGGGGTTTTCACAGTCTGCATGTATCTTCTCAGGAAATAGTGGCTGACTTCACTCAGGACGGGTAGTCCAAAAGACAGAAAGATGGAAGAGATGGTGTCCCTGGTGATTACTCCACTGCTTATGACGGGTAGCCCAGCTCAGGGTCAGGGAAAGGAAATTTAGGCCCTGCCTTTTGAATGAAGTTTCAAGAAGCTGAGGGCATGTCAGGAGCACTGAGGCTCTTACCTTGAAAGCTGTATTGGTGTGTATGGGTGTGGCCATATTGGTGTGTATGGGTGTGGCTGTACCTGTATACTGCTTACCAGTAAATCCTGAGAATTTCTTGCCTGAAAATTTTAGGAGCAAATTTGTAAGAGTAGACACATTGTATGTGACTGTGTGTCTGTTCCTGGGTATCAAACCCAGGGTCTCAAGCATATTATGCAATGTCTGGCTCATTGAACTACATCCCCAGTGTTTTCTTATAGTTCTAATAATCATAATTTGACTGTAATTTATTTTCTTAAAGACAGGGGCCCTGTTTTAGGGAATATTTCATTTTCTATATTCCTAGAGAGATTTAAAGGCTGCTGTGTCTGGTAGCTGCCTGTTAAATAAATAGTTGTTGGGCGAATAAGCTATTTGAAGGACTTGTTGTTGTCATATATTGCCACCAGATGGTGCCAGAATTATACTTTACACATAGTCATTTTGAGGGGCGGGGGCTGGACCGTGTCAGTTAAGGACTCTAATACTGATGGAGTTATAAATTTACATATACAGCAAGAAATGAATCTACTTAACCAATGCATGTGCTTCATGTTTGAATTTTATGGTGATTTTACCCCACCTTGTCACTTTCATTTTGCATATCAATTCTGTTTGAACTCAAGTGAAGTTACAAACTTTTTGGGTGTTTTGTTATGATCTATCTAGCCGGTTTATAATACTGATTAGTAACAAACTCTTTACTTTCTGACCTCCTTTAGGTCATTTCTAAAATCTTTTGGGGGCTTTCAGGGAATAGTTTACCTACATCCTGAATTTTTACCATTCTCTGTAGTTTTCTTTTACTTTATAGTTACATAGGAGGTATACAGTTTTTTTTTTGCCTAACTTTGAGCTTTAAGAACCATATATTTGTGATTAAGTCATATCTCATATCTCCTTTATGAATTACTTTTCTCATTTTAGTATTTCTTTTTTAAAATATTTATTTATTTATTATGTATACAGTGTTCTGTCTGCATGTGTCACTATAGGCCAGAAGAGGGCACCAGATCTCATTATCAATGGTTATGTGTCACCATGTGGTTGCTGGGAATTGAACTCAGGACCTCTGGAAGAGCAGTCACTGCTTTTAACCTCTGAGCCACCTCACCAGCTCCATTTTAAGTATTTCTAAGATTTTTTTTTTCCCCATGTTACTTCTGGGAGTAAGAACATGCTTTTTATTGCTGTATATTTCATTTTGAAAATATGCCACAATTCTTTTGTTATTAGTGAACATTTAGATTGCTTCTCTTTTGCTGCTGATATGAATAAATCCTGTGAAAACTTCTGTACATGGCTGCTGGCTAGCCAGGAATGGGTGGCACACACGTTAATGCCAGCACTCAGGAGGCAGAGGCAGGTGGATCTCTATGAGATCGAGGGCAGCCTCCAAAGCCACAGAGAAACCGTGGCTCAAAAAACAAACAAACAAACAAACAAAAAACAAACAAAAACAAAACAAAACAAAAAACCTGGCTGCTGGCTACCATAAGGAAGTTTTTTTCTCTGGGGCAGGGATTGTAGAACCACAGCCCAGCACTTAAATTCAGCTTACTGCCTGTTTGTGTAAATAAAGTTTTATGGCCAAGCTCAGTTGTTTACTTTTTGTGTGTGGTTGTCTTGTGACATAAAGGCAGAGTTTAATTAGTTGTGACAGAGACCTTATGGTATGCAAAGCCTGAAGGATTGTCTGTGTGGCAGCTGCCTCGAGTGTCTGCCCTGAGTGGTTTGGTGGTTGCAGCATAGGCACATGGGTACCGCACACACTCAGGACCAGCTTCCTCTAGAGTGCTGTGCTGGCTCCTTCCAACCAAGCACAGAAACTCTCCCTGGCTTATAGCTTCTTGCCTTGGTATAGTCAGAATTCTGTCCAAACTTAGGATTTTAGTTTTATTTTCCTACTACTAATGATCTTTTAGATGTCGTTTGGGCTTTAATAACAACTTTATTTAGGTATAAACTAAATACCTAGAATCCAAGCATTGTATGTGTCTGGCTGTGCAGTCACCACTGCAGTCACATTCAGGAGGCTTACATCGTCTTCGTTCCACTTGTGGTAAGTCCTCACTTCCATCTTAAACCCAGGCAAACACTGATCTGTTTTCATTCTCTATAATTTGCTTCTTGTAAGCATTTCACACAAATGAACTCATGTAATTCATAGTCATTTCTGTTTAGTTTCTTTCTCATTTTTAAGCACATATAAGGAATTGGTTCTTTTTAGTCAGTAATATTCCACTGCACAGATATGACATATTTTGCTTACTATTCATTAGTTGATAGGTATTGCTTTACAGTTTTCATCTATCATAAATAATGTAGCATTTATGGGTATGTTTGTATAAAATAGGTTTTGTTACTCTTAGGTAGATACTCTCTTAAGAGTGAATGGAAAGACTGGAATCATGTAATATATTTAGCTTTTTAAGAATCTGTCAGACTGGTTTCCAATGTGATAGCATTCTGCATCCTCACTAGAATGCACAGTAGCTTTTTTTTTTCAATGCACTCTCTCCAACACGTTTGGATGAACCTAGGGCCTCACATATGTTAATTACAGTCTGTCATACATCTATGTCAGTGTGTACTGTTGCCTGTTTGTGTTTTACTTTAGCTTCTCTAATGAATATATGGGTTATTTCTTTGTGGTGTTTTTTTGTATTTCTCTAGTGTGTGTCCATCTTTTTGTCTGCTTTTCTCTTCCATTGCAGGGCCTGGCTTTATACCTCAGGCTGGCTTTGAACTTATGATCATTTTGCTTCCTAGGTATACTGTGATTACAGGTGTGCACCACCATACCCAGCTTCTTTTTTTTCTAAGAATCATATTTTACTTTTATTTTTTAATTTTATTTTATGTATATGGGTGTTTGCCTGCATATATGTATATATACATTGCAAAGGCCAGAAGAGGGAGTTGGAGTCATTGGAACTAGAGTTACAGATAGCTGTGAGCCACTGTGTTGGTGCTGGGAACCGAACTCTGATCCTCTGCTAGAGTAACAAGTGCTCTTATCTGTTGAGCCATTCCTTCAGCTCAACTTTGAATTGAATTGTTAATATAGCTGATTAAAATTGTATTGGGACCATCAAGATGGCCCAGTGGGTAAAGAAGCTTGCCATCCAGCCTGGTGTTCCAAGTGTGACCTCAGGAATCCACATAGACGTTGGTGATAAAACCACCGCCAGGAAGCTTTCTTTTTACCTCCACATGTGTGCACAGACACAGTAACGATACATAAATTAACTCAAATAATTACTGTAGTAAGCAACACCCTTTCTGGTTTTAAAAGCATTGCCCTTCTCATATTTCATCATTAAAAATGATGGTGAGTCTTACTGAATCAAGAGCCAGAAATTAGCAAGCTTAGCAATGTTAGGTTCCTGAAATTGTTAGTAATTGTACTATGATAATATAAGAGAATATCTTCATTAGGAAACACACACTAACATATTTAGTAAATGACTTTGATATTTACGACTAACTCAGGTAGCTGAGAGAAATTAGTATCGTAACATACATTGGTAGACTTAGGAGAGGGTGAAAAAAAGACAAACAGTGGGCAAATGTTAACTAAGTAGATGTGGGAAATGAATTTAAGTGGTTTCTGTTGTTACTACTGCAATATTCCTATAAGTTGAAATATGATTTCCAGATAGTGACAGGAAATCATCCAACCCATTTTTTCTGTATGTGTTTGAGATTTATCCTTGGTTACAATCAGGGTAATTTCCTTGGTTTAGTGTTGAATTTTACCAGGCACCTTTTTTTGCATGGATTGAAATGAACTTTTTTTCTGTGTTTGTTGTTCTAACAT